ATGTCTCTAGACTGTTGGTGTCCTTGGTTTGATAAAGCTGACATTGCTTTTGGTCATGTGATAGCCTTAAACCCAGCTGATATCACATGGTCCTGAATATCTGGGGGAAGACCAAGTTTTCTTAAATACTGGTGGTAGCTTTGATTTACTTCCTCCTGTCTATTCGCTGCAGTACTTACCTCAGGCTTCTTGCTAAACCCACTTTAGTTTTCCATTCCAGAATCTCTACGTTTTATTGAACCCACTGCAGGGGTAACTTTCCATTTGATTCCAGATCTTGTTTCCGTGTTTACAAATACTAGTTTTCTTTGATATTTTGGTCTTCAACAGTGCTATTTATTAAGGTCATAAAAATCCAGACCACGCATTTCCTATAGCTTAATGAAGCAAATAGTTAATAAAATTTAAGATTGCTTTTATTTCTTTTGTGCAACTTCAGTTCTATGGCTGTCCTGGAATTGATAGGTCGGTGTAATTTAGACCTTCTTTGGTTTATGTCGCCTAATTGGACTTACGTTGTCACTTTTACTTCTCCTAACTTATGTTTAAACAATTTTTTTTCTGAACTTGTCGGTGATTTTCATCATTTGTGATGGGCTTGCGGTATTTCTCCTGTCCACTGACTGAATTCTTATTCATGGAGTGGTGATTGCAGCTTTTGAACTTCTTCTGTTAAGGACACCAAGCTGGTGCTTGGCATCAGAAGGTCTTAGAAAAGTGTGTTAAAGGCGTAAATGTTTGGTAGTATGATACTCTCTTGTTAATACGGCCTTTTAAAATTTTTCTATCTTCTTTGTGTCATCCTTTCAGCACCACTTTATTTTTGTCATAGCAATAAGATATCTGCGTATGTGAGTCTATTTAATGCCCTTCCTCCACCAGGGAACTAAGATAAACCTACCAGTTAGGAAAAAGGGGGCAATAAGAGGCCCTCAGAGTTTAGAAAACTTTTACATTCTTATTGAGATACCAGAATTTTTGTACCAAAATATCATTACCCATTCTTTCCAAATTCAGATGTTCTTTAAACCTAAGTTAGACTTAGGAAAAAAACAGCTAATGCATCATGCATCTTTATTATTTACATCAATTATTTTTTTCTATATTTCTGTCATCTTTATCATTTGGTCACCTGCAGCTCATACTATCTTAGGTCTTGTCATCTGATCCCTATACTGGAAGGGATGGTCATTAGTATTTTAATCTTTCACAATGTTAGAAGGATTGCAAGTGCTTGTAAACTACATAAGTGAAATAATTCTGGAAGCATACTGTAGTAAAATAATGTGGTAGAATGAGTGATCTCGACATTCATTACTTGCTACTTTTCTTGCCTTTATTTTATTTAATTTTATTTTTTTGCCTGAAACCTATTAATAACATTTGTTAGTGTAATGTTAACATCAGTTTCTATTTCCTGAACACTGAATGGCCACATACAATAGTTGAAGGAATCCCCAGCTGGATTCCTTGGAAACTTCTTGAAGCAATTGGGCTGCAAAAGTCACTTCCTGTTCCTGGGTCCCCAGTGCATATTTCCATAGCTCTTGATGCATTTTATTGTACTGTTATCTATTCATACCTCTGCTTTCAGGGGACCAGCTCCTGGGAGGTAGGGAGATGTCTCCAGCAGACCTTGGCTGTCAAGCTGTTCACTAAGTATTTGATCAAATGTTCTGTGATTTCATCACTGTTCTGGTAAAAGCGACCTCTTTTTTTAGCTCAGCATTTCTCATACAGAGGCCACGTGTGTGTAGTGGGAGATAGAGTGGCCCCACGGCCTTTCCGTCAGGGCCTTGAGAATTCACACACACATTTTTGTTTGCTCTTTGCATTTTATTACATGAAAAGCATATTTGAATCATCAGGATGAATCCCTGGCTCACTAACGATGGTGGTCTCTGCACTTAGTATGACTCAGAATACGACCACGAGGGTTCTAACAGGTGCGCTTGCAGGCTCTGAAGTTCGTGTTAAGATGCCACCTTCTTCTTGGAAATGGGACGCCCAGTGCTGCTAGTCAGGTGCTCCCTGTGTACTTCCTGTGTGCTATGCCTGGTGGGTTTCCCCTTATCTCTTCACACCCTCCCCGGAGTCAGAGCTCTATGTCCATAATGACACAGCACCCACTGAGCTACTTGCTAGGGGTGCCTTCCCAAGCAGTCTCTCCTACTGGACACTCAGCCTGGGACTTTCAGGGAACCTCTACAGCTTAAGGCTCACAAAATAAGCTAAGTCAGTCAGATTGATGCAAGAGGTGACTCTAGCAGGCTCAGGGCAGACACGTTTGTAGTCTTGTCCTTTTGAAGTGAGAACCACTGAAGAGGCTTCTGTGTGGTGTTTTCTAAGATATGAAAGGCAACTGCAGTTGAACCCACGTAGGTTCAGTGTGAGCTTGCTGTAATACGGTTTGAAACGAGGTCTTGGCATGCTGTCTGGCTTGCCTAGGTGTGAGGTGCAAATAGCTAGCTAAGGGCTATCATTTCCCAGAATGGGTCTACTTTTTAACTTCCTCTTCCCTTAGAGGATTTGGCTCACTAACGATGGTGGTCTAACAGGTGCGCTTGCAGAGGACCAGAAGACCCTCCTGTCCAGCAGGAGAGACTGCTTGGGTCTGCGCTTGCAGACCCTCAGAGGACCAGACACTCTGGTCTTCTGAGTAGTCCTATAAGTTTTGAGTTGGGCAGTTTCCTTCTCTGTCTCCCCTCCCCTCCCTCCCCTCTTCTCCTCTCCCCTCCTCTCCTCTCCCCTCCCCTCCCTTCCCCTCCCCTCCCTTCCCCTCCCCTACTCTCTTCTTTTCTCTTTTTGACAGGGTCTCACTATGGAGCCCAGGCTGGCCTTGAACTCACAGTGATCCTCCTGCCTCAGCCTTCCAAGTGCTGGGATTACAGGGGTGCACCACCATGCTTGGGCAGGACAGGCAGTTTCAAGGCTGGTTATTTTCCTGAAAGGGCAGCCCTTTGGCACAGCCATCTGGATGTGAGGAAGGTGTTCTGTCGGGTCCTGGGTGGACTTTGGCTACAGTCTTGGTTCTCTGTTCCCTTTCTGGATACCACAAAGCCAAAGTCCAAGACAGTGTGAGTGGCAGTCAGCTCTTCTCAGGGTGCCCCTGAGATTGGTCTGGGAGTTCTGCTTTCTTAACTTTGTAGTCGTTTAAAGGTTCTTCTAGCTTCTCCCAGGAAACATATTTTATCTACTTTTATTTTTCCTTCTTCTTTCCCTTTCTCCCTTTCTTCTCTCTTTTTTCCTCCTTCTCTTTTTTCCCCTATATTCTTCCCTCTCCTTTCTAGTAGAATAGTTCTGATTTATCTAGCTCACTAATTCTGAAAAAAAAAAAAAAAAAAAAGGAGATCTAAAAATCAACTGAGAAATAGAAAGGCATTATTAGTTGGGTGTTAACATTTAAACAACCATTCCCTTTTGGGTTTCTTTTAAGCTTGTTAGTCAAGATAGATAACAGATTATAAATCAGTAAAAAATATGTTATTTAGATATTTCCAGTAAAAAATCCCCCAGAATAACCTTCAGTGATAAAAACATTCCAAGAAATGAGTAACTTGAATGATGACCTAACCTATTAGAATTTATTCATTAAACTTAATGTCAAGACACTGCTGCTGGTGAGAAACAAGAACCTAACTCAGATTAGCTTAAGCTCAAAAAGTATTTAGGGGCTTAAATTGATAGAGTGAATAGCTGCCAGTACAGTTGTGTCCAGGAACTCAATACTGTTATTAGACTCGGTGGCTATCTCTCGTCTGACTTTCTCTGCTAGCTTCAGTCTCTATCAAGCTCTCCTCTGGCAGCGAGATGGCTTCTAGGAGCTCCAGATTCATGTTCTGTGCCTGACGTCTGCGATCGTCAAACTTTGAGTGTTCATTCAACAGTAACCTTGGACACAGTATTCCTAGTGTGTGCACATTTATTTATAAATGATTGTACAACACTATTATATATTTTATATATGATGTGACCTATGTATTATGTTACATGCATATTCCATAAGTTTCATGAATTATTATATATGTAAAGCCTGTGCTATGTTAATTACTAGTGGAATTCAGGGGTTTTGTTTTAAAGATGGAGACTGAATAGAAGTACTAATGTTTTCTGTATATTTTTGGCATGTCCCATGTTGGGGACCACTTAGTGGAAAGTCCAGACATGTCCCACCAGTTTTAGCTCCAGTCCTGTGACCACTTCTCATGACCCACCTTGAATCCTGAGACCAGAGTCCCTGAAATAGAAAAAACAAAATTTTACTAATATTGAGTGCCAGATTCTGATTAGAAAAATGATGTTTTAACTTTTGGAAGCCACTTATGTTCTGGAACCTTATAATAATTGACATTTTATCCATACCAGGTGGGGTCATGATCTTTATCTCCGTACAGAGTTATATAGTAAATATTTTCTACTTTTAGAGCAATTTAATTACTTTAGTCTATACTAAAGCTCTAATATTTTATACCTGACATATCATGAAAGTGACTTATCTAGTTTTTCTCCATACACACAGATATCACATTCACAAACACATTCACAAACACATCCAGACACTGTTACATATCCATACTCTTATTCACTCAATCTTATATTCATGTAATTTCTCTCTCTTTTTCTGTTTTATATGTCTGTCTCCTATTTGTCTGCCTCTGTCTCTGTCTCTCTCTTTCTCTTTCTCTTTCTGTCCAAACTACACTTTCTTATAATACTCTAGTGACAAGAGAATGGTGTATGTTAAGATGTAGGAATTAACAAGTTTTACAAAATAAAGTTGTCATTTCCAAGAATGGCCATTTTAAACAAGATGGGTGGGTATGTGGAAAGACAGGCGATAGAGGACCCGGAATACTCCTCAGATTTCAGAAGAACAGGAGCTCACTGGCTGGAGAGAGCTGTGTTTGTATGACAAGCAGAGCATGTGGCCAGAAAATGGTGTGCAGGAGCTTTCTGAGGGAAGGCCTTCAGAGTATTTAAAAATTGATCTTCTGTGGCAGAAACACAATGGCACAACTTGATTCTGAAGTGAAAGAAGAATGTTTGAGAGAAGACTTGAAGTTTTACTTCATGAACCCCTGTGAGAAATACCGGGCCAGGCAGCAGATTCCATGGAAACTGGGTTTGCAGATTTTGAAGGTGCTCATGGTCACCACACAGGTAACTCAGACGATTGCTTTGCCTTTATCTTCAGATGAAACTGTTTTTGTGTCTTCTGTACTTTTGAACTGAAGAGTCCATACTTAACGTTCATAAAACTATAAAATTATGTTGGCCGAGAGACAGCTGGGAGGCTGAAGTTCGGTTTAGAAGATGAGCTTGTTTCAGTCAGAGATTATAGAGTCACCTCTCTGCAGCTGATCTGCAGTTTATAAATACTACATACTGCAGGTCAGTCCTGAGGGGACTTTCTATATCTATGTGAGGCCCACAGGCTGGCCAAGGTTGTCAGCCCCAAGTGATTTCTGTTGTTGAAATCCCTCATCCTTCTTCAAACACATCTTATTCAAATATGGTTTTGAAGTGAGAATTTTTTGTCTTCCTACTTATGGACTACTAAGTATCCTTTTTATCAGTTGCCATAGTTTCTAAAGAAATGCTAATCCTTGGACATTATCAGAAGTGTAAACTTATACTGTTGAGCAGTTTATCCCCAGGGTCAAAAGAGCCATCAGAGTTGTCCTTTAGCTTTTGAGCCTCTGCTACTGAGCCGCAAGTAGGGGGAGAGCCTTTCTGCAGATACCTGCATTTGAAACTTGGACCATTTTAAAGATAGTCCTTGGACCGGGTATGTAGCTCAGTGGTAGAGCACTTGCCTGGCATGTATGGAGCTCTGCACTTAATCCCCAGCACCACAAAACAAAAAAAGATAAACATTTTAACAGTCCTGATTTGAGATACTGGGCTGTGTGGTCAGATAATCATTCTGATATCAATACAAAGTTATAATGAACGTGAAATAGATCACTACATATTTCTGGAAATTAGAGGAAGTCCCTGCTATAACTGAAGCTGTATCTTTATTCTGTGTTCATAAAGAGATCTTTCCTTTGTGTGCCAGGTCCTCCCAGCTTATTCAGCTTTAGGGAAAGCCAGTTACTCAGAAGAAACAAGGCTAACCTGCAGGACACTGTGAAAAGTGATGCTTTTCATTCTTGGTCCAGCAGTTTTAGTTCTGGCAACAACCTACAAGATAGTTGCATTGTTAGTATTAGAAGTATTAGAAGAGGACATTATAAAAAACAATGTCCTCTTCTGTCATTTGGTTAATTTTAATTGTCTTTCAATTTCCTAGCTTGCTAAGCCAGCCTCCATCTTGATTTTTGAACTAGTACTGTTACCAAAATTCTATCTCACACAGGTGTCAAATATTATTGCCATCTTCCACTCACTTTTCTTTATCCCGATACCTACAAATTACCATTGATTTTTTTTTTTAAAACAAAAGTGCATCTATTCATGTTTTGTTTTGTTTTGAGACAGGATCTTGCCATGTTGCTCAGGTTGATCTGGAACTCTTGAGCTCAAGCCGTTCTTTTGCCTCAGTTTCTCAAGTAGCTGGGTTTACTGTGTGTGCATGTGTGTATGTGTGTGTGTACATGTGTGCTTGTTTATTTTGTTTCATGGTACTGGGGAGCGAACTCAGGTCCTTCACACTGAGCTATATATTCAGCCCTTTTTTATTTTTAAGCTTTTGGGACAGAGCCTCACTAAGTCACTAAATTGCCCAGGCTGGGCTTGAACTTGTGACTCTTTGGCCTTAGCCTCCCAACATGTTGGGATGACGGGTTTGTGCCACCACACCAGCTCTATTTGGTTTTTTGATACTCCCTACCTTATTTCTAACATAGACTTTGAATCCCAAGTATACATGGATAATCCGACTTGCTGAGCACTGAGTCAGGAATACAGCTGTGAGGACATTACACTGCCACCAACCTCCAACACTTAGCCTAGTGTTTGCCATGTGCCAGACACAGTGAGCATTTTGTGCGTGTTAATTCATTTCATTCTTTCTGCAACCCTGTGAGGTAGATTCAGTTATAATCCGATTTTCACAGACAGGAAACGGGAGCAAAAAGAGTTAAGGAGCGTGCTTACAGCCATTCAGTTAGTGAGTGAGTTAGAGACAGGATTGAGCTCTGTCTGGCTCTGGAGTCTGCACCCTTTTCTCATGCTGGTGTCTGTCCTCGATGTGGGTTCTCTCCCCAGAGTTTGTGGTCGGAATACAGATAAGTCACCTACTCTAAGCCACATCTACCTTCATCTCATGTTACCTTTCTTACCCCCCACCACCAGTCCATTTTAGTGCTAAAATCACATTAGTTTTCCTCAGCGTAGCTTTCACCCCTGCTCAGAAATTTCTGCAGAACCCATCTTTCCCCCAGAAGAAAACTTTGACTCTATGGCCTGGAATCCACAGATTTCACAATCTCGTTCAACTTGTCTTTCCAACAAATTTTCATCTACTGTTTCCTTCCCTAATGCCAGCCAGTCAGACCATCCTTCGCCATTCCCAGGCATGCCCTGTCTGTCCGGCCGAGCCTACTGACTTTGCAGGTGCTGTTCGAAGTCCCCTATCCACAGCATCCTGTCCTGACCTCTGCTTGTGGTTTTCTTGAATACTCTTTGCTGCTACATCACTAATTTTACTTTTAACAATAAGGTATTTCTGGGAACCTGGGAACGTATAATTTGCTTTCTGTATGGATATAGCTGTCTCCACTAATAAAATAGGGAGAGATTCAGTTTTTGTTGACCTGTAGGTTCGTTCTATTAAGTTCTGTTACTTGGGTGATATCTAATTGGAGCAGATTTCTTGACTGCCTTTTCATCCATCAAATCCCATTTTTCTTTCTCATCTTTTTCTGTTTTTTTTTTCTCTCCTTCCTCAAGTCTAATGAAATGAATGGCATTTTATCAGGGTTGATGAGAAGGGAATTAAAAAATTCCTACTCTGAATTCTGCAATAATTTATAATCTGCAGGGAGGTTTTGGCATTCCTTTCTGAGCTGTACTCTTTTCCTCCCATATTCTTTATCCAAAACGACGGTGGTGTCTTGCTTTTACCTGGTACAGAATGTTTTCTCATAAGTTGAATTCACAAGGAGGTTTTCAGTTCACAATCTTTGCCAGACTAAATTTAGTCATTATTTTTCTGTCTTGAATTGTGTTCTTAGCAAATCTTGAGAGCTAGTTTGTGGAATGGGATGCTTGTTTGCTGTCAACTGCTTCTTGAAAATAAAGTAGTTTGGTCAACAGCTTCATCCCTTCCTCTTCCTCTGTCTGGAGGGTCTGGTTCTGTCATAACAAGAAAGAGACTTCACAATTTCCCCCCCTTGGCTCCCCTAAGGTGTTCAGACACACCAACCTTTCTCGATGCTGAGGTCATCCAGGAAGATCTTGTCTTGTTCTGGGAACCATAGGGTGAAAGAGATGTGTTGTTCTTGAAGCCAGGTCATTCTGAAAACCACCCAGATGGAAGTGGTCCCAAGCAGAGCCCACAACTCCACATTCCGTTCCTCTTGAAGTTGAGTTGGTGGCTTAGAGTTTAAATGGGGTTGTGGTTTCAAATATTAGCAAATTGTATGGTACTTTTTGAGTCAGTTTGTTCATTCCTCATTGAGGTTTTTTTTTTGTTTGTTTGTTTTGTTTTTTGTTTGTTTGTTTGTTTGTTTTGTTTCTGTAGCTTTGCTATGAGCGTAGGAGAGAGGATCTAACATGCTTGCATCTGAAGTTGGCAACACTTCAGGTTAGAAGGTGGCATATCTCAGGGGCTGAGAGAATGAACAGGCTCTGCTGTCCAACATGCCTGATTCACATCTTCACTCTGACACTTTCTAGGTGTTCCAGCTTGGATAAATTACTTAACTTCAGGCTGCATACGTATAAAATGGGTAAAATATTTATTCAATATTTTACTCTGACGTTGTGATAGCCATGATTTCATTTCCTGAGCATATACTAGTAGGAAAATTGTTTTGTCCACAAGGGGCCCAATGTAATACCTTTCTCAGAGAATATGGGGAGTTAAAGGAAGTATAATAAGTGTGAATTTTTTTTGTGCAGTACCTGACACTCATTGATAAGAGTTGTTATTCAATATGGTGCACTGTCAATCTTGCCCACATCATATCTTTGATAGAGAGAAAGCATTCAGCAAACTTTGACTGAAGAATTTAATTCAGGGGTGCTACTGGTGAGGCAAGCAGGGTCAGAAGATGTGATGTCTTCTTCTAAAGACTTGAAACAATTGTGCGTGTTGGTTCCCTAGTTTACTCTTTTAACTTTCAAGAAGCAACATGGCTTTTCCTGGCATCTCCTATGGTCACCAGTGGCAGATTTTCACATGCTTTAAAGAACCTTTCACCTTCAGTTTCTTGACTTTTGGCTGATGCAGAATGTGTCTTCTAATGTTTTCCTTAAAGTAGAGGGGCTTTTAGCAATTCCTCAACCCTTCGAGTTAGTTTTTGAGGAATGTGGTCTGATGAGATTGAAATGCAAAAGTGTCATCTAAGTACATTCTCAAGTAGTAGTTGCATTTCATAGTTCTAAAGAGCCTGCATTAATCCTTTTTTCAAAATAATCCTTTTTTTTAGATGAGAGGTGTCCCACAGAGAATTGTTTGAAGAAAAGGGAATTGTTCATATATCATAATAAAGATAGCTTTGGAGTCAGACCTGTTTTCCATTCTAGTTGTGTGGCTTGGAGCAGTTTAATGGGCTAAATCGCAGTTTCTCCGATGTAAAGTTTGGAAAACAGCTGTAACATTTTGATAGAGTGGCTGTGGTAGGAAGCAACACAGTACATTAATGTGTGTGAAGCAGTTAGTACGGTCCCTGGCATATAACAATTGCAGGAAGATGGCCCTTACTTTTAATGATTTTGTCCTGAAAAATAGACAAAATGAAAATGCTAAAAGTAGAAAATAAAAAAATCCCTTATGGCAATTTGCGTCTGTAAATTAACTTTAGTTTCATCTGAATTGAAAAGTAGCATATCAAGATATCATAATTGATATCTTATATATTATTATATGGATGCATTATAATAAAAGGGTGGGATGAAAGGAATGACAGAACTCTCATTTAACTAAAGCTGCTACTTGCGCCTGTGAAGAAATAGTCTGAAAATGTTTTGGTGACCCAGGTGTTACTGACTTAGGGGAAGCAACCTAGAGCCTCATTGTTTTATAATGCAGCTTACGTCTATGGCGAGAGATGTGTGGGACAGGGGCTTCTAGAGGTTTGATTTCATCATCACCATTGTGTGTGTGTGTGTGTGTGTGTGAGAGAGAGAGAGAGACGGAGAGAAAGACACACACAGAGAGAAAAAGAGACAGAGATCTCATCTATGGGAGAATGTGCATGTTTGTGTATGTATCTCTGTGTGTCGTTACTTAGTTTTTTGTAAATTTTTGGTCCTGACTAATATTCATCATTCATTTGTTTCCAAGAAGAAAACTTTCTTTCTTGCTTGATAGAGCCCCTGAGTGCCTAATTTTATACCAGGGTACAATGTGAGAAGAACAAGTAGGTGTTTTATCAGGAGCAGGTGGGTACTTATGACACTGAATGAGTTTGACATCATGTATGTGAAGTGAGTCCTGTTACAGTGTATTGTTACATAAGGTTTGTGGGTGTGTATGTGTGTGGTACTAAAGCTTGAACCCAGGGCCTTGGCACTGAGCTACATCCTCATCCCTTTTTAAATTTTTTGATTTCTTTTTTTGTCTTTTTTGAGACAGGGTCTCGCCATGCATTTCACGCTGGCCTTGAGTTCACTTTGTAGCCCAGGCTGGTCTTGAATTCACAAGGTCCCTCCTGCTCAGCCTCCTGAGTGCTGGGATTACAGGAATGCACCATGCTCAGCCTAAATTTTTATTTTGAGATAGCATTTTAAGTCGGCAAGTCGCTCAGGCCTGGCTTAAATTTATAGTCCTTCTGTCTCAACCTCCCAGAGTGCTAGGATTAATATGTATGCCCCAGTGCCCAATTTTTCATAAGCTTTGATACTGCAAGGGGCAGACTCCTAGGTGTAAATGTTATGTAAGAGTTTTTGGAGAGCTGGGTTAACTGAATTCCTTTGATGTCACATCCTGGCAGGAGTAGATATTGATTCAGGATACTTGTCAAAAGCCACATGTAAACATATGTGTACTGACAAAAATGCATGCAGTTTCTAAATATTAAGCCAGTAAACATGCATTGTCTCTTTACTAAGTCATCTATTTTGAAAACAATTAATTGGAAATCCACGCATAAGAAAACTGGATTGAGATTTAGCTGACATGGAGTCTTTCTTAAAGACTTGCAGAGTTGTTAGCCAATTGAGAGTGGTAATTTCTTCCAGTTGTAGGGGCCAAAGGAATTTCCCTGTGCTCTGTGAAGCTTTGATATTTGCATCAGTGGAAATAAACTGGCACTAGACAGATTCGCAGGAGAGAAAGCACACACATTTATTATGTCTTGGGGTATCACAAGAATGAAAAGTGAGTATCCCATATCCCCATGATATTTAAAAGTTTATCTACCCTTCTTCATAAGGGAAAGGGCAGTGGGCAGTAGGATGTAGGCCATTTTACAGGAAGAGTAGGCTCAGTGGTTAACTTTGGTTGATGCTTGCTGGGATTGAGGCATGCCTAGGAAATCGGGAAAGTACCCTACTGGGTGTGCCTGGGAACGTGGTTCCAGAGCAGACTGGCGGGTGGCTGAGTGAGCTGAGTGAGAAGATCTAACCTGAATGCAGGTGCACCACCCAATGGGTTATGCACCTAAATGTAACAAAAAGTGGTAGAAGAGGAAATCTTGCTGTCCCTGCCTGACTCTTTCCTAGTGGGCTGGTTTTTCTGCTGCTGCCCCTATAGACATCAGACCCCAGCTTGTTCAGCCTTTGGATACGAACTTAAACCATTTTTCCAGGGAACTGCAGGCTCTTGGCCTCAGACTAAAAGTCTTCTCTCTTGTGAGTGAATCTTCTTCGTTGGATGAGATGTAGGGAAAGAGCTCATGACAATTTTGTTAAATCTGGAGGAATTTTTCTGAGGTAAGGAACTCCCTGTGCTTCAGAAGAGATGTGGGAAGGTGCAGGCTTGGCAACAACAGTTCTTGGGCTGCTTCTTCAGCTCAAGGTCTCAGTGTGTCAAAGTGGGATACACACAAAGTGGGATACTTTGGGATATTGTTTTTTGAGCTCCAGCACAATTTTATGCTACTTCTAATTGCTGATGTAGCTCAGCAATGAGGTTATTCTTTTATGGAACTTATATTTTGACATTATTGTTACTAGTATAAAGCAAAGAACTGAGATTTTTTTCTGATGCTCAGAAATGAGGGTTAATGATAATAAGAAGGTTTTTTCCTCCCCTGGTGAAGTTCATATCCTTATTTGATTTTCTTTTCTAGCTTGTTCGTTTTGGGTTGGGTAACCAGCTGGTGGTTGCCTTCAAAGAAGATAACACTGTTGCTTTTAAGCACTTGTTTTTGAAAGGCTATTCTGGCACAGATGAAGATGACTATAGCTGCAGTATTTATACTCAAGCGGACACCTATGAGAGCATCTTTTTTGCTATTAATCAGGCAAGTGTTTTGTGAATAACCTGTATTTGAAGAATGTATTGATACTTGGGCTTGTTGTCTTAGAAAGCAACAAAGTTATATATATATATATATATATATATATATATTCTTATATAAACTTTGTATATCCCACCAAAAATATTTAGTACTATTTCTGGACCTAAGTTTGCTTATTTTGAATGTTTCTATAATATTTATCTTTTTAATTTATTCCTTCCTACCTCACTAGTTTCCCAAGAGATTTGTAGTCTCAGAAGTTGTGATGAGTATTTAAAACACAACCTAAGAGTCTATGGTTGTCTCAAATTTCGTGTCAGCGTTGGTAATCCTAGCTGCATCTTAAGAAGATGGATATAAGATAATTGTGTCTAGACAGGTATAATAGATTGGTAGACCTAAAGCAAACACTTAGGAGAGAGAAACTGTTCTTGTTTTTTTTTTCTTTCATTCATTCAATAAATATTTGAGTCCCTAGTATACAGCAAGTACAATTCTAGACATTGGGGCCATACAATGAATAAAACAAACAAAATCTCTTCCACTGTAGAGGGGGAGCTAGACAAACAAAAAGAAATGTGATGTGCAGTATTGAATGCTGGGTCTCTAAAACAGTATCCAAAAACACATTGAGAAGCATAGTTGTGCCTCCTGCTCACAGTAGAAGGAAGAATTTTCCTTGCTACTCTCTGTGGTGCCTTGGGTGGGTGGGGGTCCCTTCAGTGTTGGGGGAACTTGATTAAAATTGGGTAAGGATCATGATATAATAGTGTAAGATTGGTGGACATAGCAAAAAAAAGGGTTGGGGGAGCTGTCTCAAAGAGAATTGGAATTGTTATCAGACTAAATCTTCCAACTGTTGTCTACTTATGTAAGTTTTGTATGTTCCTTGTTTTAGTTCTTTCCTCGTCACTAAGACAAAATACCTGACACCCACAACTGAAATCCTCAGTCTCTAGAGGATTTAGTCCTTGGCTGACTCCAAGGCAGGAAGTGTACTGTGGAAGGGTCTGGTGGAAAAGAGTTGCTCCCATCATGGTGAACAGGAAGCGGAGAGAAAGGAGGAGTGGAGGGGGAGATACATCCTTCCAGGCTACGCCCTCAGTGACCCACGTCTTCCAACCAGACCCCACCGCCTAAGAGCACCGTCAGCTCTGAACTCTTTAGTGAATGATTCCACTGATAATCCTAGCACCCATGTATTCTGATCATTTTCCAAAAGCTCCACCTTTGAAGGCAGGAACATTTGGAGGTTCATTTTAGATCTAAACCATAATATCCCTGAAATAAATAATATGGTTATTTGCAACTTCTACGTTCTGAAGTACAAGTTTCCTATGAAGTCATATGAATAAAGATGAGGATTAGTGGAGTTCTGTTAATGCAAAAGCCAAGCAGTGAAGCTGTCCAATGTCAGCTGTGCTGTATGGGTGTTTTGGGTCCCTGGAAGTATGTTTGAAAGTGATGACTGTTGAATACAGCAGGGAAGGAGATGGGGTGTGTCTGGGCAAGGAATGATGTTTGCAGTGTTCTTTTTAAAAAATTATGCTTTATTTTGTTTTTATGTTTAGTTGACAGATATAGCTATGAATTTATGGGAGCAATGTGAGCTTTTGATATATGTTTGCAATTTCATTGGCTTGATAAGGGAACTCCTTGTTGATGTGGTAAGATTTGCACCAAGACTGGGAGGAGTGAACCGAGTAGGTAGGTACCAGAAATCCAGGCAGAGAGAACAGCAAAGGCCAAGAACAGAAGTCTGACAAACTCCAGGAACTGTGTGGAGGCCAGTGTAACTTTGAGGGTGGAGCCAAGGGACTTTGGGGTGCAATAAGGGCAGAGAGAGATAAGGTAGAACCTCAGCTGCAGCTCTGAGGGAGGTGAGAGCTGTTTGTCAGCAGGTTTGCTTCAGGTTAGTGTCTGTGATATGTTCCAGGGCAACCCAAGGAAACTACTTTGGCATTTAAATGGGAAAGCGCTGCTGAGAGGCGTGAGATGAACAATATACCACAGCTAAAAGTGCATTCTGTGTGCTGTGACTTCTGGTTACATTTTCAAAAGCTTGTGCTTTTCTTTATGTTTAAAATTAGTATCATCTGCTGAAGAACATCTCCCTGGCAACTCTTGATTATGGAGAAAATGAAGACAACAGAATTGGCTTAAAAGTCTGCAAGCAGCATTACAAGAAAGGGAACATGCTGTCTTCCAATGAGACCCTGAATATTGACAGAGACATCGAGATAGGTAACACGGCAATCATTTCATTGTATGCCTTCATCATCTTCTGTGGTAAGAACAGAAGGGCCCCGTGTGTCGGCAACTTGAATGGAACAACTCTGCCTTGGCGAGAGTGAATCTGTTCCAGGCTGCCCCTTTCGCTTTGCCTGTAAAGGACTTTGGCTTAGGCAACTGGCCACTGTGACCGGGACACCTTGTGTCTTTGGTGCAACTCCAGGGTGTTGGTTTTAGGATAAATGCACAGGTGTTATTGCTTGTTTGGATTTTTTTCTCTTGAGACAGTTCGGTTAGACTTTTTCAAAAATGGGTTCTGTGAATCAAATGAAATAATGTGTGTAAAAATGCCTTGCATACTAATTTTTGTTACTTGCAAAATATATAAATGTTGTTCAAAGGTGAATTGTGATTAATAACTAATTTTCTCTTTCAGAAGATCCTTTGGCAAAGTTAACAGTGATTCCTGTAGTAGTATTCTGTGTAGTAGTATTCATGTAATTCTGTAGTATTCTGTAGTAGTAAGAGTGTAAAAGAATGTCACATGCAAATGTAAAGTGTTTGGTTCAAGACTTTGAGGGTTTGTCATTCAGCAAACCTTTGGTGGGCGGCCCTCCATCCTGTGCAAGGCACCCACTCTTTCCTGTCCTAGGGCTGCAAAGGTTAATCCCTCAAGACTCCTTAGGGAACCAACTGTTTAGGAGTCGGAGTCTGGTATCAGGCTAAATTTCAAGTGATTTTATTAGACAGCATCTTGCAGTTCATTGGCCATATGTGAGTGAACTTATCATAGGCTCTAGACTGAAACAAGCAGCCCCCAAGCCACAAATCCAGACCCTGTACTGTCTGGCATCCACGTTGCTGTCAGAGACTCAGTGCGGGACAGCTGCATGGTTCTATGGCCAGTGACACTGAAATATCCGTCCCCCTTATTGCCCTGGAGGGTCCTGGTCATCTGAGACCGATGTGGTGGTAAGTGGGTCTATGTGAGCCAATCCTGTTTCACTCTTTAATCTTCTACCTGGGTATTCAGCTGTGCCCTTCCCCCTTGGTGATTCTTATAAATGAGACAAGGAGAATTTGACAGGTGGGACTGGAAGCCAGTCCTGTCACCCTCCACCTCATGGAAGCCATCAGTCACTTGCCATTTTAAACATGGGTGACTCCAATTGAATACACTGTAGAACTGTTTTCCAGTGATCCGTATGCTGCTTTTTTCAATGGACTTTTCTGGCAGAACTGGCTAAAGAAATGTGGCCAAAGTCAACACCAGTGACTAGATAGGATGGGCAGGCCTGGACAGGAGGATTTATTTATCCCCTGACCATTGCTTAATGGTGCCCGTGTTTATTTCCTTTCTAGAGGAATATGGAATATGTTTGACTACATGGAGAGGTTGATGATTAATCTTACTTTATTTTGAAATTGCTTAAGGAAGTTAATTTTATTCTTTAAATTATAAAATATAACAAAGAGAATCTTTTAGTATGCTGAGAGCTATAAAGGTTTAAAGAGACTTGCTACTTGATTTTGGACCCCTTTTTCTTAGATACACTGGAGGAAAGCTGCAGATGGCATAAATAAGACTGAGTTTGGCTTCATTAGTGTGGCTTAGAGTTTCTATAGGGAATTTGGTAGAGGCTGACCCAGATTAACTACTCAAAAATATTGCATTTCCTTTATTATTAATAGAATCAAGCTTCAGTGTGCTAAATGCTGTGGTCTGCCTTTATGCCCAGCTTTCCTGGCACAGCTAACTGTGTAGCTCAAGCCAAGTGTTTCTCTTAATTCATGCAGATGGGCATACTCCTCCCATTTCTGCCTCTAGAGCTATAGCTTTCGAGTTAAACCTGAATGAAAGCACTATTATGAATCCTGTAAAAAAATTAGTCTCAACAGTAAAGTGGGTATTATTTTAATACAGGGTAAATATTGCTTATCCAAAATGCCTGAGAACAGGAGCATTTCAAATTTTAGATTTTTTTTTTTTTTTTGATTTTGGAATAATGCAAGAAAACAAAAAACAAGGGTAAGAGGATAAGACACAAATCCAAACATAAAATCCATTTATGTTTTTTGTATGTCGTGCACATAGCCAGAGGGTAATTTCATATAATATTTTTAGAGCACCTACATTTTGAGTCTTACCTATCACATGAGGTTAGGCAAAGAATTTTCTACTTGTAGCATCAGGTTAGTGCTCAAAAAGCTTGCAGTGCTGTAATCTCAGCACTTAGGAAGGCTGAGGTGTGAGAATCTCACATTTGAACTCGGGTTGGACAATTTAGCAAGACCCTGTCATTAAAAAGTAGTTTTAAAACAATAGCCATGGATGTAGCTCAGTGTGAAAGCCCTGAGTTCAATCCCCAGTACCAAAAAAGAAAAGTAAAGAAAGAAAGTAGAAAAAAATTGCAGATTTTAGATCATTTTGAATTTCTTATTTTGCGTTAGGGATGTTCACCTTATATGGTATTTTATTTTCTGTAATAGTTTTAGAGCTTCTTATGTTCTTATTCCCACATGTTCTTAACATGAGATATGATGACTATCATTTTCCTCCTGCTGTAGGGATATATTTAATCTCTGCACCCTCTGAAAGGTCGTTATTTCACTGGCTGGAGTATTCACCTCTGAGATTTCTTTGAACGATGAGACTGTTGCTATAGATATCAGTTTGTTCTGCTGGAAGTTTGATATTTCACTTAGGGCTTTGCCATTCTGTTTAACAAAAAATGTCAGTTTTGCTGCCACCTGATGCAGGTGACCTCAGTAGCAATGCCTATAGTATAAAGTCAGCCATGCTTCAGGGAGCTCTGATATGCATTGAGATAACAGGTAGCTCTGTAAGTACAAGCAAAGCGATACAGAGTGAGTAATAAAATACCCTTTTAGAAGGCACATTTTATAAATAGCATATAAACAACTGACAAAATTCTGTCAGATTTCTCTGAATCTTAGATGCCATCAATTAAAAAGGAAACCATAACTGCTTTACACTTGTTGAAAGTAAAATAATACGCATCTTAGTGTAAATGAAATACAGGAGAAAAAGTCCTAAGGTCATGTCTGGCACATAGAGCGTGTTACTATTTCTTTTAGAATGCAGTCATTCACTGAGATCTGTTTATTTATTCTTCTTAGAATAAGAATGTTACAGGTAGAAGGCCCTTAAATATCATCAGCATTGCCTTCCTTGTATAGCTGAGGAGACCACTGCTCAGTCAGGCTAGGTAACTGAGCCTTGGTCAGGTACTGATTTAGTGGCAGTAGTGGCTGCTCTAATACCAGCACTGTGAGCCTCTGTGACGAATCTCAGGCCGCCCTCGAGCTACTCAATCAGATGTGCCTCGTAACAAGATCCCTAGTGATTTCTGCATGTCACAGTTTTCAAGCACTGATTCGATGCTCTTCAACTGAAGTTTTGTTTTCATCTTTTGGGGATGCTGGGGACCGAACCCAGAACCTCCCACAAGCTAGGCAAGCACTCTGCCCCAGCTCCTCCTACTGAAGGTCTTTGACCTTGCAGAGACCTCTCGTATGACTGACTTTACCTCATTTTCCACGGTCCATTGTCACCTCCTGCCTTTGGCGCCTTCTATACACAGCTGAGACATCTTTGCTACCAGTATCATTTCCTCACAAAAGCCATCAAGAGGCTCCCTGTGCTTTCTCTCCGGGCTCCTCTCCACCGTCTTTTGTCCCTAGCCTCCTCCACCCCGTGTCCCTGCCCCTGGAGAGGCTTCCTGGAGAGGCACGCTAGGGCAGCACGCCCTTGTCTTGGGCTGCCACATCTTTGAAGCTCCTTGTATAGCTTCTGTCAACCCTTATGCCCCGTGTCACAGAGGAGCACAGAGGGGAGGCCATAGTTAAAAGCCTCACCTGTGCCCCTGTGTCCCTTCCTGCCTCTGAGAGGCCAAGCCCTTGGTCTCTGCCACCTAGACTCAGCCCTCTCCCCTGGGATTTCCCCTGACCTCCGGCTCCTCATCTATTCCCCCGGTTGCTTGACAACGCCCCTGTGAAGGTCTGGTGGGAATTTTGTACCTACTGTGTCCCAAACAGAAGGAACATTTCAAACCTTCCCATCTCCCTACCTTCCCTGGGCCCAAGCTGTATCTTCCTTAGTCTTCCCCATCTTGGAAAATGATAGCTACATTTTTGTATTATACACTAAGGTTTCCAGTTGCTCAAGCTCCCTCCATGCTTGAATTTACCAGTTGCCCTATGTCCACATCGCCACCTTAGTGCATGCCCCTCATTGCTTGGACTGGCCTGCCTGCTTCTGGTCAGATCTTTCCTACACCCTGCCCTGCCCCATGGCAATCAGAGTGGCATTTTTGAAACATGCAAGTTGAACCATATCGCCTACTGACTTCACAATTATGAGTGGCTTCCCATTCTGTTTATAAAACAACCCACGCATCTTATAGCCCCAGGCCCAGTCCTGTGTTCTAGGTTCTTTCTGTTCATGGAATAAGCCAGCTGCTTTCTTGCCTGGCATCCTTATGGCTTGAATTTTTCCTACCTGGACCTGTACATAGCTGGTTCTTCTTCCTTCAGACAGATGTTTCAGTTCAAAGCTTTACACCTTGGCAATCATTCCCTGACCCAGCCTTCTTTGACCATGGCTATCCTAATAGTCTCAGTCACTTTATCTGTATTCCTCACACTGTGGCATTATCTTTTTTTTTTTTTAAACTGTATTGTTTTTCTCTTCCCAGAATGAGTTCCATGAAGGCAGTCACCATATCTGACTTGTTCATTGCTTTACATGTCATGTCTAGAACAGTGCCAGATTTTCATCAACTACTGGATGAATAAATGAATGAGTGAATGAGTGAGTGAGGAAGGGAGCCCGAACCCCTGAAGTTCTTCTAAGGTACATGCTTAGGGATCAGCCCTCAGTGGAGCCCAGGAACAAAGAACAGGTGTACTTAAATTTTAACTAGGTACCAACTAGTTGCATGACCTTAAAGTTTCAGGACCTTTCTGTGCTTTGGTTGGTTCATGTGTAGAATGACAGCAGTAGTGCCTGTCTCCCAGGGTGGCTTTGAGGATTCAATGGAACAAAGCATAAATAGAGAATGTATAAAGCTCTACCTAGCACATTGCCTATGCCACGTTAACCTTTCTGTTCAGCCTTGTGTCCCTGTGTTTGGTCCAGCATGTCTAGCTCTTATTAAACATGTATGTATCCCATATATTGGGACATATTTTTAGTGTGAGCTCTATGGTAGGCAGTGAGTGTTTAGAAAGGTGCAGTATAATTGTGCTCTTTCTTTCCAAGACCTTTACTCTACTTTCAGGGTTAAGAAAGTACGGAAGGGAGTTGAAATTGGGGGGTGACTGTGAAAGATAGAGCCACTGAGTGCACCCAAGCCCTGGGGACCTACTAAGTGCCAGGCATTGTGCTAGACCCTGACTTGTCCACATCAAAGACAGCACAGAAGGTGCAGGAGGCCCATGGGAGCTGGCAGCTGGACTCACACCATCCTGTCCCCAGGTCTCTGTGACGCTGACAGATGGTCAGCCCTTGACCACCATGTAAAGGAAGGGTGGTGGGAGACACAATAGGCAGACAGTGTTGATGGGAGACTCTCAGAATCATTCTTGGAGAGTTTGTGGCTCATTTGTTTTTACTCGTATGCAGTCTGAGTTTTGTTCCTTTCTCTCTTTTTATTTTGAAAAAGTATCAGACTTAACAGAGAAAGTATAAAGTTATTACCAAGAATATCCTATATACTCTTCCTCCAGATTTTTAAAACTAACATTTTATCACACATTGCTTTGGCATTCTTCTATGTATAAGAATTTCTCCTGAAAATGCGCACATACTGTTTCTCTACCCCTATCCGGTTCAGCGTGCATTTTCCCCAAGCAAACACACACTCCTGCAGGACCACTGTCCATTCTCAGAGTGACGAATGCACATCCACGCTGGACTGTAATCCCTACACCCTCACCACACCTCACCAACCATCTTCATGTTCTTTGTAGCCAGAGGAAAGCCGCCCCTCCCGACCTATCCAGGGTCACACCTTGCACTGAGTGACCATGTCTTTTAGTTTCCTTTAATCTGGAGCAAGATAAAGTTGCTTGGATTTTTGTTCTTTGATGATTTTGACCTTTGCTTTCTCCTTCTCTTTTGTTTTATTCCTGAGGTACTGGGGCTTGAACTCAGAGTTTTGCTCTTGCTAGGCAAGTGCTTTACCACCGGGTTACATCCCCAGACCTTTTTAGTTTTTTGTTATTTTAAGACAGGTGCCCAGCTAAGGATCTCAGAGTGGCCTCAAACTTTCCATCGTCCTGCCTCAGCTAGTAGCTGAAATCATGGCGTGTGCCACCATACCAGGCTGATCTTGATATTTTGAAGAGGAGACTGTCCCTCATTTTAATGTTACTGTTTTTTTTACGACGAGACTGAGGTTATGCAATCAGGGCCGGGGTCCTGCACTCGTGATACATCCTCAGTGTGTTGCAGCAGAGGCACACGACGTCTGTTCATCTCACAGTCAGCGGTGTTCACTTTGGTTAGTGGGTTGGTGCAGTGTCTGCCAGGTTCTCCATGGAAAGGCTGCTGCTCCTCCTGTTGTATTTAGTAAATACTTCCCGGAGAGATATTGTGAAACTTTCTAAGTATACTGCTTCTTGTGCCATTTGTCTGCTGCTTTTAGCACCTGATTCTTGCCTGAAGCAATCCTTCCTTGTTCTCCTGATGCTCTAGATTGTGTTCACCTAGACCTCCTGACACTCTCCGAGACCGCTCAGGCCTGGAAGCAGTCTGCTTTCTTCAGACTGGAGTTTTACCGGTAAATACATTTTCAAGTCTTGTTTCCTAAGAGACAGGGAATGGAGGGAGGGGAGTGGTGTACTGATGGACGGTGATAGTTCACACCTTTTAATATATTTTATTTAGACTCCTGCAAGTTGAAATCTCCTTTCACCTCAAAGGCATTGACCTTCAGACGATCCACTCCCGAGAGCTGCCGGACTGTTACGTCTTTCAGAACACGGCAAGTGTCTTTGTTGTTTGACCAAACAACAGATGTTTTCTTTACTCCTTCTGTAGATGCAGAGTATAAGTCACACCAGGCTAGAAATCTTAGCTGTAGCTATGTTTGAAACAATTTTAGTGATGGGTTATGGTGTCATTGATCTAGAGACCATTGCTTCCAAATGTACAGCAAGTCCTTTCCAACTGGTTAAAAACAGATTTCGGAAGTCAGCAAGAAGAGTTTTCAAAATTGGCTTCCAACTCCTGCTGTCCTACCATAATAAAAGAAATAGTCATGACAAGTAGTTTAAGTAACTATAGTACTGTCTCCAGCTTTGGAGGATGGTCTTTGCAAATCTTGTAGCAAATATTTCTAGAGAAGCTCCCTCAGTCTGTGACAGAGCAGTTGTTTCTCCTTTTATTATGGGAAGTGCCATATGCAGTAGAGAGGGGCATTATGGGATTTTATGTCCTTTTACTTTTCCCCATCCTTCTTTTCTTTCTTCTCTGTCTCCTTCCTTTCCTCTCTCCCTGCCTTCCTTTCAGATTTGTTAAAGGATCAAACTGGAGGCTTGGTTGAGAATTCTATATTCTGTCTTTTAGCAATTTAGAAGAGTGCTTCATTCAGCACCAGATAATAAATACCTACAAGTCCCTTCTGTGCCCCAGGCATGTGCTGTCTTCTAGAGACAAGCAATCCTCAGAAGCTCATAGCCTGGCAGAGGGAACAGACAGAAAACTAAAGACAGAAAGGAAAGGAGATGCAGATTGCAATATTTGATGTCTTAGCTAGTTTTCTGCTGCTATAACAGAATACTACAGGCTGGGAAACTTGTAAATAATACAAATTTATTTGACTTCTAGAGACTGGGAAGTCCAAAATCAAGGGGCTGCATTTGGTCAGAACCTTCCTGCTGTGTCATAATACAGCTGAAGGTGTCACACAGTGAGAGAACAAGAGGGGCTGCTCTTATAGCAAACCACTCTTGAGAACACTTGCCTCCATGGTGATGACATCAGCCGACTCGGGAAAGCTGAGTCCTGGTCATCTGTCCACCTCCCCATGGCCACCACCTCCCAGTCACCATTGCAGGAGGATTAAGTATCCAACATGGCAACTCCTGGGGGATGTGTTCCAGCTCTCAGCTGTGGTGAGGAAGGATGTCTCTGGCAGGTAGATCATGTTGACCCCCTCTGGGGTGGGTGAGCAGGCAGCAGAGGAGGCCCCTAGAAGGATGAGGATAAAGGATCAGGGAGAAGGAGGGCCCTTAAGGATATGGTCACTGGTGGCTTTGTTATGGCATGGTCAACAGTGTGGGTTGAAAGAATTGGCATTATGTTTAGGGATTTTTTGTTTGTTGTTCCTTTGGACATCTATGGACTTTGGGTTCCAGAGGCTTGAAGGAAGTGTTTTAGGAGCTCATCTAGGGGAGACAGAGACCATTTGCCAACGTCAGTGAGATCTGTCCTAACTCTTGGACCTCTGCTGTGAAATGGTGCCACTCTCTGATCTCTGGTATGTCTTAGTGATTGATGCTCTTGGATGGCTCAGAACCTGGCTTGTTTTTAGTGATGCTCAGGTGCATGTGGATTTGAGCTGCTAAGCTCTGTTATGAAGTCATATTGCTTCTTCATGTGTCCACTCAAGAAACTACTTGGCATCTACCACTTAAAAACTTTAAATGGATTCAATAGTTGATCAAAGTTCCATAATGTATAAGATCAAGGTCCCTCACACATCTGAAGTTTGGCCTAAACCCTGTCATTTCTGAAAGCACTGTATGTATGTGTGTATGTGGCTCTTGGGACGAACAGAGTGACTAAGTGAAGCAAATGCTTTTAAATTCCATTCAGTGTGATAATTCAGGGAATCGCATTCTCCTGCCAGATTGGAGAATTCTTATTTTAGTGTCTGGGACTGGTTGGCTGTTTTTCTCTGGCATTTCTCTGAAACAGAGAGCTAAAGTCCTAGATTTAGTAGAACTGCATGTATTCATCCTTTACACTGTATTTTTCATTAATAATAGAAGGTGGTGAAGACTTGAGGACATTTTCATCAGTATAGTGCTCTTCAGGCCAGTAGACTATTTAGCTACCACTGATTTTTTCAGCAGAGTCGATGTAACAATCCTATTTTCTATTGGGCTAAAACCTCTCAATTTGCTTCTGCCTCCAGATCACCTTTGACAATAAAGCTCACAGTGGCAAAATCAAAGTCTTTTTTGACAGTGAGGCCAACATTGAAGAATGTAAAGCCCTGAACATATCTGGATCTAGTGAGTATGCTGTCCATTTGCCCCTTGTGGATTACTGCACACTTTTTAATACTTTATTTGGGGATGTGGAGCATTTAAGGGGCTGATTTGGATGGTGATCGAAAATAAAGGTTCCAGAAAACCATATTTTGAACATTAGATTCTGTAAAGCATGGCCTGTAGATTTGTGCTTTTGTTTAATTTCAGCAAATGTTTGTCACACAACATTCCTTTTGGAGAGATAGCATGACTTGGTGGTTGGAAATTCAGCCCTTGGAGTCAAACTGCCTGGGTTTAGATCCTGGTGCTGTTTACCATGTCTGTGATGCTAGACAATTTCTTAACCTCTTACTTAAACCTCTTTTTGTAAAAAAAAAAAAAGGATAGTATTAGCATTTTCCTTCAGAATGTTAAGTATTAAATGAGTTAGTATAGGAATTAGTGCATATGAATTGCTGGGGAGGGTGCCCTACACACCTATCACCCCTGCATGCAGAAAGCTGAGGCAGGAGGATCACATGAGTTCAAGACCTAGGCCTAAACTACGTAGTGAGACCCTGTTTCAAAACAAAAAGTCCAGGCCCTGTGTGAGCTGTGCCGAGTGAGCGAGTGCTCCAAGAGCTGCTGGTCCCGTGGTTCAAGTCCGTACTTTACTCACACCACCACGGTTCCCAGCTGAAACTCGTGGAGAGAGCCAGACATTTCCCATCTACTTACTGAGGGCAAAGCGGGTGACCCAGGACCCTGCTGCCATTACAGACTGAGTTTCTGCTCTCCTTGCACCCGCGGCAGACAGGAGGTCCTCACTCAGAAGCCCCAGGGACTTCTCTGGCTGGGG